TTATTATTATTATTTTGCAATTAAATGTATGTAGATTGATTATATCGGCCTTTTTATGCTCATTATATATGTTTTCTTCTTTGGACAGACGATGTTGAAGCTTTTCTCGGTCGAAACTGCCACGCAGAAAGAAAGGGAAATTGAGATATACTGAGTGGTGTCATGATGAAACACAAAATAAGGCAAGAGTTACTGAATATAAAATGCATGAAGTTTTATTTTTCAACATGATTTTTTTAAGGATTCTATACTGATTTAGCAACTCCTTAACTATGTGATTTGTGTGTTTTCAACAGATTGAGAATATGTCCGAACAACATAATCCCTGTGCCACCTGCAAACTAATTCTAATGAAGATGAAGGAGAAAACGAGGATTACCTTATATTTGTAACACTACAACATCAACATTTTGTATATTTTAAATTCATGTTTGGATGATTTAACTTAAATGTGAATTTTGAAGTAGTGGATATAAATTTTGAGTTGTTTAATATTTTTATTGTAATTTTATTTTATTAGTATTGTTTATAATTACAGGTTTAACAATAAAAAAAATTAAAATCATTAACTAATAAAAAAAGTTGAAAAATGTAATATTGCGACGATTTTATGGAAACGTCGCATCCTTAATTTAAATTTTGCGACGAAATTAATTACAAATAAACGTCGCATCAAAGAGCGACATTTTATTTTAGTCGCAACTTTATCATTGATTTTGCGACGATTCCCAAAGGTTTCGTCGCAATATTTCAGCTAACGAAAAAATAAAATCTTTGCGACGTTTCTCTGGAAAGGTCGCAAACCATGCGACTCTTTTTATGTTTCGTCGCAAAAATTTGCGACGGGCACTTTTTTGAACTTTTTTTGCATTTCTTTCGTCGCAAACCTTTCGTCGCAAAATTATTTTTTTCGTCGCGAATAAGATTTTTTTGTCGCAAATTTTCGTCGCCTGAAATGCATTTTGGCGTAGTGAGCACGGAATGTATTTGCACCATCACCATCTTCAAATAAAGTATTTTCTACGGTAGCACCATGAATAGCGCATAGCAAAGCAGCCCCCAATACACCGGCAACTCCCATCATATGAAATGGGTTCAACGTCCAATTATGAAATCCTTGAAAAAAGAGGATGAATCGAAATATAGCTGCTATACCAAAACTAGGTGCAAAGAACCAACCAGACTGGCCTAGTGGATAAATCAGGAATACATAAACAAAAACAACAATTGGACCAGAAAATGCGATTGCATTATAAGGTCGCAATTGAACAGATCGAGCAAGCTCAAATTGACGTAACATGAAACCTATTAGTCCGAACGCACCATGCAGAGCAACAAAAGTCCACAGACCACCTAATTGACACCAACGAGTAAAATCTCCTTGTGCTTCAGGACCCCATAGTAACAATAAAGAATGCGCTAAACTATTAGCAGGAGTGGAAACTGCGGCCGTTAAGATCCGTTTTTATATTGATAGTTTCTCGTATTTATTTGCGTCATAATTAGTTTAATTGTTTAGTTGATTAAATTTGACAACCTTGCGTAGGCTGGATAAAAATCATAATTGTTAGAATTTGATACTTAGGATTAGATAATTTGAGTATTCCCTGTGGGATCGACATCCGACTCCACTTTTACTACTTATTTGCGATACGTGCACTTGCATGTTAGATATTTAGCCCAACAGTTGTAGCGCTGCTGTCAGCGAGACAACCTTGGGGCTTCGTTGCTGAACTTTCGAGATGACTTAGTGCCTGATTTCAATTCGAATATTGGGAGAGGAAGAGGTGGTTTAGGCGGCAATTCAACCGCCGCCACGGCCAGAGGTGACCGCAACACCGCCGGAGTCTGCTTTGACTTTTGTAGTGACTTAAGAGAATCAGTCGAATTCGGTGGCAATTGTAGAGCTGAGCTGATTTCTTCGACTCAGAAGTTGTATGAACCAGCTACAATAATAGTAAAATTTAGGTATGAATAACAATTAAAACGTTTTAATTAGATGATAGAATATAAAAAGTAAATAGCGACGAAATCGTACTGGTGGAGGAAGGCGCTTGTGGAATAGAAACGTTTTTTTTTTGTCCACGTGTTTGGTTATAACGGAAGACAGGCGTTAATGCTTTTGGCAGATATACGTTGAATGAGTTACGAAAGAGTATAAACTGTCCCAATTTGTTGTTTAGGAGGCATTTTGGGTCGGAGCCTATAGTCTAGAGGAATCAACTGTACTTACCCCTTTAATTTATCACATTCACACAGTCACAAATTTACAATCATAGAATGAAACGCTAAGATAAAATATATCAAATATGATTATGCATAACCAGTTTCGTCACCCACTACCCTTATTGGGCACGCGTTTTTGGATTATATATAAACTATGTAGCACGAACACAGGCGCGGACACTGCAAAATGGGGAAACTTCATTTTTTAACTTATATACATAGTCAGTTACATATTATATCTACAAATTACATCTACAATTTATATATAATTTTAAGAGATTCCAATATGAATTATTATTCCACAAATTACATTATTTATGCTAGTATGGAATTAGCACCCACAAAAAATATTAGAACACCATTAGAAGTTCAAATTAGACATGAGATTTAAGATTTTTTTTATGTGTATACAATTTCGAGTTTTTATTTAAAATAGATTTTTGATTTTTTTGGGTGGGACGTGCTTTCCATTTTTTCCTTATTACTAAAAACATCCCCGAAACTCATTTTAAGCTCATACAATTCCGAGATTTTTTATTTAAAATAGGTTGTTGATTTTTTTTTGGTGGGAACGCGTTTCCATTTTTTTCGTTACTACTAGAAACGTCCCCGAAACGTTTCCAACAGATGCCATGACGTTTGAAACGTGGAAACACGTGTAATTAATTAAATAAAACAAATATATGTGCAAACCTGACATGAGAATAAGATCGTCCATGCTAACTTGCTTCAATCTGCAAATAACCTGAATATAATATATATGCATTATTATTTGTGAACGACAGCTAGCAGAAGGCCAACTAATACTTTCTGATCCATTTATTTAATTAAATAAGTTACACGCGAATCAACAACATTTAATCTATATATAATATAAAAAGAGGATCTATGCCCTCAATGATTGACATGTGGCAAATGATGATGTCATTTATCAAAATTGCTTAGTTGGAGTTCAATTGATGAGGTGGATTCTTCAATTGATGTGCTGTCAATTTTATTTTGGTATGTATTTAAGTTATTTCCTATTTAACATTTATACAGTCATTTTAACAATTACCACGTGTATATATTATTTCCGAAATTAATATTTTATAAATTCGAAATAAAAAATCTTATTTGCATTTCCAGTATTTCAAAATATATTTATTGGTAGTCTTTTTTAAAAAAAAATCAGAATATTCAAATAATTTTCAGAAAAAAAAAACATTTTTTTTAATATTCAAATATTAAAATAAAGAAATACAATTTTTTTTTCAATATTCTGGAATATTCGAATATCCATTCAATAAAAGAAATTAAAATAATATATTAATATTGTTTAATAATGCATTAAAATTCGATTTCAAATTAACATATTAATAATATATTATGAAATTTATAATTTTATTATTAAAATAGAAAAAAAAGGACAAAAAAAAACGAGTATATTTTATTTATTTTAAAATTTCTAAAGTAAGAATATACATTTTATGATATGAAATTTGATTTCTTACCTATTTAAGATGATTATATTTAATGATATTGTTAGTTTAATGAAAATATTCAATAACCATAAATATTGTTTAATATTTTAAAATTAATTCCTAATCAATAGTAATCAAATCATCCGAATTGAATTGATTTGATTTCTTACCTTTTTTTTCCCACCTATAATTATGTTTGAAATTTGAATTCAAAAAATTTCCTAATTACTATATACTTATCAAAACTATATAAACCCCCATCTATTTATTTCACCATACACTATTCTTCTTCATCCATTCCATTCGAGTTGCTTTTGTTTTTCGTTTTTCGTTTTCTCTTTTTGGTTTTTTTTTTTTTTTTTTTGTAATTTTTTTTCAATTGATTTTATGCATTTATCGTATTATAATTTAATTTAGATGGTTTAAATCCGTTTAATATTTTTATTTAACAGCAGAACTATGCTAATACTTTTTCTTTATGTATTTCTTGCAGGTGTTGTTTACGAATCCAACTTATGTCATATGTGCTACATTGTTACGGTTTGCATATAATTTTTGTAATTTCATTTATTTATTTTTTCTATGTAAAAGTTTGTATTTTGTTTTTTTACTTTAATTGACTTATATATTTATCTTTATCCAAAAATCGATTATTGTTTTGTCAAACAGAAATGAAAGAAATCGACATTGAATCATGTATTACATGTGGAAACGTGGAAATCAAAGAGTTTTTTATTTTTCTTTGATTTTCAATTTGAAAAGAGGATTGGACAATATTGTTGCATGTACAAGTTTCACCACAATTGACATGTATCATCTTTTGAATGTTTTTTTTTTTTAATAATAAAGACAAACAATTTATGTACATTTGCTTAATTAGTGCTATTTTGGAGTTTTATTTTATTTTCTTATAGTTAACATATTTTACATTCATTATACTTTTCTATTTTATGTTTCAATCTTATTTATTTTTTGGATAAATTACTACATTAACATTAAGAATATTCAAATATATTCGTTTGAACGTCTATTTTTTATGAATATACATATAAATTTTAGGAATTTTTTTCATTGTAATAATCGACTAATTTTAATAATTAAATATATACATATTTTTTTAATTTTCGTAATCATAGAATATCGGAATATGCATTCAATAAATTATATTTTTTTTAAACTACAACATATAAATATTTTTATTATTTCACTATTTCATTTCATAAAATATAATCATATATTAATAAAATTCAATAATGTACAATAAAAAAAATTCTTTCCTTTTTTCTGAAATATATATAATATTTTTTTTTG